ATCTGCATATCTGAGGTTATTGATATTTCTCCCGGCAATCTTGATTCTAGCTTGTGGTTCATCCAGCCCAGCATTTCTCATGATGTACTCTGCATATAAGTTAAATAAGCAGGGTGACAATATACAGCCTTGAAGTACTCCTTTTCCTATTTGGAACCAGGCTGTTGTTCCATGTTCAGTTCTAAGTGCTGCTTCTTGACCTGCATGCAGATTTCTCAAGAGGCAGGTCAGGTGGTCTGGTATTCCCATCTCTTTCAGAATTTTCCACAGTTTATTGTGATCCACACAGTCAAAGGCTTCCCTGGTATCTCAGTGGTAAAGAATATGTCTGCCAATGCAGGAGATATGGGTTTGATCCCTGGGTTGGGAAGATCCCCTGGAGAAGGAAATGGCAATTCACTCTAGGAGTTTGCTTTTATTATGGGTGCCTGTCACTTTTTTTCTCAGTATCTGTTGGCCTTATTCCCTTGATAAGGAGATTGTGCAGGTGTGATAGCTGGTGCCTAATCCTGGGGTAATCTGTGGTGTGCTCCTGAGCATGTGATGGGAGCAGAGGTGGCTCACAGTCACTCCTTGAGTCTACAAGGAAGATGGTGTCAGCTCATGACCACTCCTGAAGTGTAAGGGGGAGAGTTGTGGCTTGTGACAGCTCTTGGAGCTGATGGGGGGTGGGGGGTGCCGGTTACCTGAGAGCAAATGCAGGGATAAAGGCTGCAAGGTCCTACCTCAACCCTCACCTGAACAATAGTGCCTGGCCTCTAAGATGGTCCAGGCTTCCACCATGTACATCCTCAGGTGTGGTTACACCAAACTCCAGCCCCTTTAGGCTCTTTTTGCACAACCAACCCAGGTCCTTTCCCTGGGTCTAATATCTGAAGCCTGAGCTTCAGCACCCAGCCTGCACCGGTGGACATGGGTCTCTGGCTGGGGAGTGCAGGGGAGTGGCATTGACCATCTGTTCAGGTTTGTCTAATGCTAGCTGCCACAAACCAGTTTCTGTGTTCTTCTCTAAAGCTCTGAAGTTCCCCCTCTGTCCTGGCTGATCTCCCCACCAGTGAAGCGACTTCCTGGGATGGAGTCCCGTTCCGATTTCTTTCTTTTTTCTTTTGTCCTATCTGATTACATGGAGATTTTCTTGCCCTTTCAGAGTTCGGATGTCTTCTACCAGTGTTCAGTAGATATTCTCTGAGGATCAGTCCATATGTAGATGTATTTTTGATAAATTTGTGGGAGGAGGTGAGCTTCATGTTCTACTACTCTGTCATCTTGATTCAGAGTTAAGAACTTTTAAATACATAAGACATTCTCATAATTTTAAGGGATGTATTATTTAAAACCTTTTTCAGAAGGAATACAAAAAAATTAAATGTGATACATATAGCTTGCAAAAGGTTTCAACATAAGGCTCTGTTCTTAAGGTAACATTTAATTAGTGTCATGTACAACTTAGATATTTTATTAATTACCTTGAGGAGATCTGGATCAATTCCTTTAATCTTTGGAACTGGAACTGGGGGTAGAATCAACATCTTAATCCTTGAAAACAAAATTTTGTTTTAATGTAAGTTACTCATTCTCATTCAAAAGACAAATAAAATATTGACAATACTATTACTAATGTAAAGTAACAGAATATTTGGAATAAGTGAATCTGAGAAAGAGAAGGAAAAGCATTAAGCAGTGAGTGATGAGGCAAAACTAAAGAACAGAAAAAAAAAACACAAAAAATCCTCATCTGAAGTGAATTTAAATGTGGTTTTCCTATAACTTTTCCTTAATGTCTTATGACAGTTTCAGAATTGGGAGTTAGACATTTAAGTCCATCTGAAGCCAATTTCCATGTCAGTTATAAGGAGGTAATTTTAATACATATCCATAATTTGTTGGGGAAGGGGGAGGAGAAAGAGCCAATCCATGTAAAGGTATGCACCCTAAAAAAAGAGTGGGCTGGGATTAAGTTCATACCACAATGCTCACATGAATTATAAAATTATCTAAGACAGTTTCATTAACCAGGATGTCATTGCATGGTTCATTTCAGTTGGGACAGACTAAATTTGAACTATTTCTAATCAGCACAGGTTTATATACACAGTTCTATAATGCACTTAAATTTTCTGTCCCAAATATTTACATTACTTTTTGACTATAATTTATTTCAATGTCTTTCCTGCCTATCTTGTGCTTCATTGTATTCTCAGCACCTAGAAAATTCCTGGCACAGAGAAACATTGCCTGAATAAATCTGAGTAAATCATTTGTCTATTTCATTAATAGTGTAAATAGTTTCCATTTTAAAATCAACATTGTGGCTCTGGAATAGAGATTATCCATTCCAATCTGATTTTTGGACATCAGATGATATTCTACTCAGTGTGAATAAAATAGTCTGGTCTACTCAATTAGGGAGGGCTTCTTGGGTAGTTCAGCTGTTAAAGAATCTGCCAGCAGTGCAGGAGAGCCTGGTTTGATCCCTGCGTTGGGAAGATCCCCTGGAGGAGAGCATGGCAATCCCCTCCAGTATTCTTGCGTGAAGAATCCCCATGGACAGAGGAGCCTGGTGGGCTACAGCCCATGAGGTTGAAGAGAGTCACACAGGACTGAGCAGCTATGCACAGCACTCAATGGGGAACCCACTCTCTGAATGTTTCCATCACTTTTTAACCTAATCCAAGGCAAATTTCCTTTTGTAAGTTGAGTTTGAGTAGACTCACTAGTTTTACTTAGTGGGACAAATGTTAAATTGTTACTGATGAATAGAAATAATAGGGAAAAATGCATGCTATTAATAACTGCTACCACTTTTGAATGCCTCTAGTTCAAAAGTAGTAGCCTTTTGACTGCCTCCAAACACTGAAACTCTGCATTTGCAAATTTCAATCTGTGGGCCAAATCTGTTCTGCCCTCTGTTTTTGTAAAGAAAGCTTTTTTTTAGAACATGGAGTCAAGTTCATTTTACATATTATCTATGTAACCTAGATTACATGTTATCCATGGCTGCTTTCATGCCACAGTGGCAGAACTGAGTAGTAGTGACAGAGACTGCGTAGCCCAGAAAGCCGAAGATTTACTGTTTGGTTATTTTTAAAACAACTTTGCCAAAACTTGCGCTACACATTTCCTTTGGTGCTTACCACTACCAGGGAGGAAGAAGATATTATTTGTGGGAAGATTTAGAGATTTAAGGAACATATTCAAATCACACACTAATACTTGGTTCAGCTGACACTCAAATTCAAAGCAGCTGACTCCAAAACCCATGCCCTTTGCTTTCTGTCATGCTGCTGTGTTAACTTGGTTCTGCATTTCTAAATAAATAATTCACAGGTTCTGTTGTTGTTGTTTAGTTGCTAACTCATGTCTGACTCTTGCAATCCCATGGACTGCAGCACACCAGCAGGCTCCTCTGTTCTCCATTAACTTCTGGAGTTTGCTTAAACTCGTGTCCATTGAGTTGGTGTTGCTATCTAACCATCTCATTCTCGACTGCCCCCTTCTCCTTTTGCCTTCAATCTTTCCCAACATCATGGTCTTTTCCAATGAATCAGTTCTTCGAATCAAGTGGCCAAAGTATTGGAGCTTCAGCTTGAGCATCAGTCCTTCCAATGAATTATTCAGGACTGATTTCCCTTAGGACTGACTGGTTTGATCTTCTTGCAGTGCAAGGGACTGTCCCAGCGTCACAATGGAAAAGAATCAGTTCTTCAGCACTCAGCTTTCTTTATGGTCCAACTCTCACATCTGTATGTGACTACTGGACAAACCTTAGCTTTTTTTGACTATACGGACCTTTGTTGGCAAAGCGTTATCTCTGCTTTTTAATATGCTGTCTAGGTGTGTGATAGCTTTCCTTCTATGGAGCAGCATCTTTTAATTTCATGTCTGCAGTCACTGTCAGCAGTGATTTTGGAGCCCAAGAAAATAAAATCTGTCACTACTTCCACTTTTTCCCCTTCTATTTGCCATAAAGTGATGGGACTGGATGCCATAATCTTCATTTTTTTGAATGTTGTTTTAAGCCAGCTTTTTCACTCTTTTCACCCTCATCAAGCGACTCTTTAGTTCCTCTTTGCTTTCTGCCATTAGAGTGGTGTCATCTGCATATCTGAGGTTATTGATATTTCTCCCAGCAGTCTTGCTTCCAATTTGTGATTTGTCCAGCCCAGCAGTTAGCATGATNGTAGTAATGCTTCCTAATGCCCACTTGACTTTATACTCCAGGATGTCTGGCTCTAGGTAGTGACTACACCATCGTGGTTATCTGGGTCATTAAGACCTTTTTGTATAGTTCTTTTGTGTATTCATGCCACCTCTTTTTAATCTCTTCTGCTTCGGTTAGGTCCTTACCATTTCTGTCCTTTATCCTGCCTATCCTTGCATGAAATGTTCCTTTGATAGCTCCAATTTTATTGAAGAGATCTCTAGTCTTTCCCATTCTAGTGTTTTTCTTTATTTCTTTTTCATTGTTCATTTAAGAAGGGCTTCTTATCTCACCTTGCTATTCTCTGGAACTCTGCATTCAGTTGGGTATATCTTACCCTTTCTCCCATGCCTTTTCGCTTCTCTCCTTTTCTCACTTATTTGTAAAGGCACCCCCCGCCCCGCCCCAGACAACCACTTTGCCTCCTTGCATTTTTTATTTTGGGATGGTTTTGGTCACTGCCTCCTGTACAATGTTATGAACCTCCATAGTTCTTTAGGTATTCTGTGTACCAGATCTAATCCCTTGAAATCTATTCATCACCTCTACTGATTTGATTTAGGTCATGCCTGAATAGCCTAGTGGTTTTCCCTACTTTCTTCAATTTAAGCCTGAATTTTGCAATAAAGAGCTGATGATCTGAGCCATAGTCAGCTCCAGGTCTTCTTTTTGCTGACTGTATAGAGCTTCACAGGATCAAAAACAAAAATGTAACATAACTCTAATTAGAGGAAAGCAAAGATCCCCAAACATGCTTTATTCTGTATAAGTCCCTCTTTTTTTTTAAAAAAAAAAAAGAGGATGACGCATTTAGGTACTTGAGAGTCAGGGAAGTGTTGTTGCCTTTAGGCTAGGGTGGCACACCCTGGAGCCTGGAGCAACCAAGCCAGTCATAGGGAGGATGGGAATTGTGACAGAGAGCATGTGCCCTGTTCGAATGGGATGGTTGGTCCTCTGTCTCAGGACATATTGCTATGCAGGATTATCAACCCAGCTTCACTATTTTTTTTAAATTTTTAATATGGCAATGACTAAATTTTTTAAATTTATTTTGGGTGTTCTGGTCTCTGTTTGCTGCACAGGCTTTTCTGTTGTGGGGAGTGGGGTCCACTCTCAGTTGTGGTGCGCGGGCTTCTCACTGCAGAACATGGGGTCTCAGCTCCAGGGCACAGGCTCAATAGTTGTGCACAGGATTGATGAGTTGCTGCATAGCATGTTGGGTCTTCCCAGACCAAGGATCGAACACATGTCTCCTGCACTGGCAGGCAGATTCTTAACCACTGTACCTACCACCAGGGAAATCTGAGATCTCTGTTTTTAAAGATAATCTAGTAATCTTGATTTTTGTGTGAAAACTCCCTGTTTTAGAAACACTTTGTAGCAAAACCATTCCTCAAAAATCAGAAGGAAAAAAAAACAAAACATCAAAACATGGATCTGCAGGCTGAATCTGGCTTTCAGGTTGCCACTTCTTTTTATGTTGATTCAGTTATTTCATTCCTGATTTAGTCATATAGCTTGATGGCTAGAGTAAGTTGTATGGTGGGAGCAACAAAGTATAGAATAAAGATAAACTGGCATAAAACTATGTTTCTGATCTTTATTGTTTAATTCAAGTCCAAATTACACTATACATTTTACTAGAGTTGACTCTTAATGATTTGGATTTGGATGAAGAAAGGGAGCAGTGGCTTGGTTTGTGAACTAACAAAATCTCAAGCAAATTCACTGCAGAGCATGGGGTCTCAGCTCCAGGGCACAGGCTCAATAGTTGTGCACAGGATTGATGAGTTGCTGCATAGCATGTTGGGTCTTCCCAGACCAAGGATCGAACACATGTCTCCTGCACTGGCAGGCAGATTCTTAACCACTGTACCTACCACCAGGGAAATCTGAGATCTCTGTTTTTAAAGATAATCTAGTAATCTTGATTTTTGTGTGAAAACTCCCTGTTTTAGAAACACTTTGTAGCAAAACCATTCCTCAAAAATCAGAAGGAAAAAAAAACAAAACATCAAAACATGGATCTGCAGGCTGAATCTGGCTTTCAGGTTGCCACTTCTTTTTATGTTGATTCAGTTATTTCATTCCTGATTTAGTCATATAGCTTGATGGCTAGAGTAAGTTGTATGGTGGGAGCAACAAAGTATAGAATAAAGATAAACTGGCATAAAACTATGTTTCTGATCTTTATTGTTTAATTCAAGTCCAAATTACACTATACATTTTACTAGAGTTGACTCTTAATGATTTGGATTTGGATGAAGAAAGGGAGCAGTGGCTTGGTTTGTGAACTAACAAAATCTCAAGCAAATACAGAGCACCTGAAATCCTTTAGAGCCCTGAAATTCTGCGGTAACTGACATAGTATCTCATTCTTTGAGTTTTATTTTAATTGTTCTTTCTACACTTGCTGACAGCTATTTTCTACCATTTCCTACTTTCATTAGAACATGGAAATTTAGACAATGATAAGGGTTTTTGTGGGCATATGAAAAAGGAAGATAAGTTTTTTGTTTCAAAGAATTCAATTCAGGACAGGGAATTTGGCAGTACAAATAGATTTTCAAATTTTTTTTTCCCCAATTTGGTGATTTTGACCAAGTGTCATAGTTAAAAATGTAATTATTCATAGAAAACAATCTTTTAGACAAAAGTTAATATATTTCCTTTGAAATTCTATTTGATCAGAGGATTACTTTTTCTTCCAAATATTGTTAGCTAATGTAATTCAGCAACATAAATTTGCCTGGCCTTCGTTATGATTTGAAATTGACAACTAATGTTAAAAGTAAGTTACTTTATGTATGTAGTGAGTTTATCTACCGTAGTTATATATAAATTAGCCTATCACCTAACTGGACAGTTCAGTGAATTCAAATTAATCTACAGAATAATTTGGCTCCTTTGGCATTACTTAAATAATGGATACATTTAAGTAAATAATTGTTTAGAATTTTATTTACTAATTTCCCCCCTCCCCAAATTGAAAGCTGTTGTACTACTTTATAATACTTGTATTTCTAAGACAGTAATGTTGCTAGAAAGATAGAAAATAAAATTCTCCAGGGTGAATTTTGTCCCCCTGAGTTTACATTATTAAATTGGAGATGAAACTTTACTAAAAATAATCCTTCCTGCATTCACTTGGAGACTTTTAAGCATGCTTTGACACTCTGGAACCCTAGAATTCTTCTCTCTATTGAAATTCTGTTTTGATATTTACAAATGCTATACAGCTTCAAAATAAAAAGGAAAAAAATTTTACAATATATTCATAATATAGAGTCTATTTGAGTTCTAGATGCCTCATGGCTTCACCTGGAGAACTTGTCTTTGGTTTTAGATAGAGCAGCCAACTGTCTCAGTTTGCCTAGACACAGAATTTTTAGTGTTAAAACCAGGAAAGTCCCAGGCAAACAGAGTGTTAGCTACCCTAATTCTAGGAGAAGGGACAAGATCAACCCATAGGACTTACAGATATTCTAAATGTAAGAAAACTGGCAAACTATACCAGTAAGTTTTCCAATATTTTGTATTAAAAGTTCCTATAGTCTATACTGAGTTTCTTTCAAGAATGAGAATAGAATAATTAGTCCCTACAGCTTAAGGGAAATTTAAACATCATATAATCCAACACTCTCATATTACCCATGAGAACATGGAGTCCTAGAGAGATAAAGGGACTCAAATGAGCACAAACAACAGTGGCAGAATAATAACTGGAACCTGCCTTCTGGCTGCAAGAGGATGCAGAATGGTATCCTCAAACTTAGAATTTTATCTCTGACAAAAGAAGGTAAAATACCAAACTGTAAGTATCCAAGGAATTTAAATAAACCCAAATCTACTTAAGATTGGTATCATATGAAATCTAAAGAAAGGTTTTTATTAGATTGATTTATCTAGTAGCTTTAGTTCACCACTTAAATTTTTGCTCTTGTATTAGGACTGTGTCAAACTTAGCCAAAGTCTCAAAGCTACCTCAGGGTCCTGGAATAAATATCAGTTCAGAACTTTAAGGTTCATGTCACAAGGAATGTAATCACTAGCCTCACCCTCTTAACATCCTATGCAACTTTCCGGATAAAACTGAGGCCTGTGTTGTCTGTATGTGGACACAACAAAGATGTATAGTGAGAGAGAACATTTCACTGGGTTGATGAAACACTTCACTCATGATTCACAAAAGAAAACATAAATGGAAACATGTTTGCTAAACAACTGGCAAAACATATCAGAGTAGGTTATATCACACTTACCTTTGCTGTTTAGAAAATATGAGTAAAAATAATGTCACTGATAGCCCAAGTATTCCAAAGATGATAATTAAGAACCATGGAAACTGGAAATCTGAAAAACACAAAAATAATATCTCAGAACTATGAATAATTGAAGTTTACATATCATTCTCCTGTTTCACATAAAACTTCCTAATTTGTATTCATCTAGTAAAGTCAATGATTTCACTTGATAACCACTGAAATAGAACGCAATGACTTAGTATTTTCTAAGAACACCTCTATCCACTTCTTCAGATCCTTTCATATACCAAAAAAAGAAAAAGTAACAGCATACAAATTAAGCACAATCCATGTTTATTATATAAACAACCTGCTTTGAACATTTTATGTATTCAGGTGTGTCATTAAAAGGCTTTAGCTCAAGGGAAAAGTGATGTTTGTTAACATACTACTTTACCTAAATAATGTCCACTTTTTTAAAAAAAAATGTGATCTTTAGATCTAGATCTGATCTAGACTGTGGATCTATCAATAAGATGGGGGCCAAGTTGTATTTTTGAATCATTATTAAAACTTCTTAGATATGCAGGGTGTATATTTTTATAGCTTAAAAAGTATTGTTTGACAGAAGAAGATCAGTACTAGGACTCTCAGATTTTAGCAACTGAACAGCATACTAAGTCATGTCTGACTCTGCAACCCCATGAACTGCAGCACGCCAGGCTTCCCTATCCTTCACTATCTGCCAGAGTTTGCTCAAACTCGTGTTCACTGAGTCATGCCCATTGATTCAGATTTTAGTATAATTGATAGAAAATTTGTGGGAGACTGTTTGTAAAACTTCTATTTCATTTCTTTAGAACAAGTGCCACAGTGGCAGAGGTTAACTACTTTTAAGGTAGAATTTCCCTGGTGGCTCAGACTGTAAAGGATCTGCCTGCAAGGCGGGGAAAGATCCCCTGGAGAAGGGAATGGCTACCCACTCCAGTATTCTTGCCTGGAGAATCCCATTGACAAAGGGGCTTTGTGGGCTACAGTCCATGAGGTCGCAAAGAATAGGACAGGACTGAGCAGCTAACACTTTCCCACTTCTTTTCACTTTTACCCTAACATTGCTTTACTGAAAGTAAGCTTTTATGCTGTGATATTCTTTTATTTTCTTACTCACATATTAAAATCCACAAGGGAGATATTATGCATGTTATAAAGAATTAGTGGGGGAGAGAATACCATTTTTTTTTTTGTTCTTGTGGTATCTATAATTTTATATCAATGATGTACTCAGGAACATAATATAAAGCAAGCGGTTTTTTCCTTTTCTAACAGGAGTAAAAAGTTGTTTAAAAAAACTTTAAGTGAATTAAATGCTATCACAATAAAGGGCATGTGGCAAATGTACTTTTAAGCCAGAATTTCCATATATCAAATACTGTTCGAAAAAGCCTACTGAGGAGAGCTTAGACAAAATGGTGCTATAGACATTTTCACCTGTGCTATATAATATCATGGGTTCTACCTGTACCATACATGCAGAAAATTGTGTTTATATTTTAAAATTACATTTCTTTTATATAGGATCTTCAAATATTCTATGTCACTCTTAAGCATAACTAGCACATGATTTAATTAAGCCTTCCTCCAGATAAAAGTCACACACAAACTTTCTAAAACCAATAAGCACCTCCCATTGACTACTTATGCTGATTCAATACTAGGCTTTCTCTTAGAAACCACATAGATAGCCATCCATCCAGATTCAGAATTTCTTCTCTGTATATTTGAAAAACATTTTTTTATGATTATAAATGCAAAACAAACTCAAAGGAAATATTAGAAATACAGAAACCTGTAAAGAACAGAATCACCTGAAATTCTGTTGTCTGGAATTATCACCCCACTGTCCTCCATCAGTAACTTTGTGTCTCTTCTCTTTAACTTGCACCTACATCATGACTTTTCCTGAATAATTCAGAAGCGAAATCCTTCTTCCTCTTTTGTAATGGATAATACCTATTACAGGTAGTGAACTCCAGGTCCCTCATCCTGAAAACTGATGCTAATATATATTGATCTGGACAACACTCTAACAATGTAGGGAATGTATGCCTGTGTATTGACAGAAATCATGTTGGCTGCCATTTTAATCTCGTAGGTTTACCTTCTTCACATGCAGATGGGTTCATTTGAGGAAATGTTATCAGGAGCACCTCACTGAACTTGCCATATTTTTCAGTGTTTCGTTGTCTGGTTCTCACACGCACTTCATACTCTTTATCCAGTCTCAGCGAGTACATCGGAACTGATGTTACCAATAAAGGGTCCATCTTTCAAGATAGAATATAACACTTACTGGTTAGAGAGTCAACAACTCAATGCAATAAGCTCCATGAAGTGCTTCAGCATTTTTATTCAAAATGAATTTCTGGAGAATTCCATGGACAGAGGAGTCTGGCAGGTTACGGTCCACAGAGTTGCCACACAACTGAGTGACTAACACTTTTAGCATTTACTTTTTCAGTGGGTACTCAAGAGATGACCCGTACATTGTGGATAATTCTATGCCCTCATTAAGTCTTAAAAAAACAACCCCCAAAATTCAAAAACACAATTGGTTTAGTAGGTAGATAGCTGTAAGCAACTACATGGTCATTAGAATTACTATTATATTCAAAATGTGTTTAATAAATTAAAAAATGGGCATATTAATACTAAATTCAATGTTGTCAAATAGTAAATTCCTGATATAAGCAACACACATTAGCCTTTTCCCCTTTGACTTACAATCCTTTTTTTCTTTCCCTTATGCTTATGCCTCTTTTCACAACCAACTAGATCATAAGTTCTTTAAGAAAGGTCACTTCTCATAGATGGGTCCTTGATGCTCATGGCAACTGTGAGACCCTTGCAAATTACCAAATTTATAAGTGTCACGGATTAATAACTGAGAATTTCAAAAATATTAATTTCAAAATGATGATAAATTGATTTTATGTTCACATATTTTTATAAGAATTATTGCACTTTCTGAAATAGTACAATTATAGTGAGAAAAATGACATTGTTTCACATTTTTGCAAATCTCTTTACTATCTGGCTTAGTAGAAGATGCTTATATTTTTACATTTGCTTCTGAATTAAAACTGTTAGGATGTGTGGTTTTGGTTGAGGTACATGAATAAAACTTGATCTCACAGATATATAGTGAGGAAATGGAAGAGATCTTTTAATAGCTGTTTCAGCTAATTGTATATATTCTTCCTTAATACCACCACCAACAAAAAAAAACCTCGGTAAGTGATATTTTCTTAAAGGTTAGCTGCAGTGTGAAATCTGAAACTGTATCAATAACTCTTTCACACTTCTTTATATTAAAATCCACCACTACAACTAGTACTTTGAATGCATCATTTCTCCATTCATGGCTTGGTTACAGCATGTATTGGTCACTTGGAAAATATCATTCACTGAGTTATGCAGATTTTCTAACTGTTCACATATTTCATTATACAATATTTAAAAAAAACCCACACTTTTGCTAAGATCACCATTAATCGCATCAGATCTTCAAAGGTTGGGAACACTCTCAAGCTCACAGCTGCAGATGGCAAAGTTTTCCAAAATTTTAACTTAACTTTGAAAGCTCAAATTTTCTCGCTGGAAGCAAATACTGTCAATTGTTTTTCTTGAAGTGTTAAGCTCACTTTATTCTTTTCCAAGAACTATTTGCCAAATATTTGCCAACTCAAATATGAAAAGCCATCTATCAGTTTATCAGTTGTTCTTTCAAAGTAAAAATGGTGTTCCAAGCAAAAAGCAGCTAGTTCAAGCAGGAACTCAGGTGTTTAAATGCCTTTGCTCAAAATCATCATCCACAGCTCAGGATGCAGCCAAGGTGCTTTATGTGTACACAGAATATGAAAAAGCTACATAGTCAGAAATCATGATTTAATAAACTTAGAAATATATATACTGCTTCATCAAGGACATTCTTATGTGATCTGCCTCCCCCACCTCGCCTGCTCCCATTTCTTTTCTGTGAGTAGAGAGTGGTGTGGAGCAGAGTGACTATCAGCATAGTTTGGAGCCATTGCCCTGATTTGTCCCACCATTGCTTTTGTACCATCTGTGTAAATCAACACAGTCAAAAAAGAAAAGAACATTCTAGTATTATTATGGAAACAGTCTTGACCCTGTGGACTCCTGAAAGAGTCCCAGGGACCCTCAAGGGTTCAAAATTTATACTTTGGGAAAATTCTGCCCTGGGGTGCCTAGCATGGTGCTTTGTGTATACTAGATATTTCAATACTCGGTCGGTTGCTGAATAAATGTTTGACTGAAGTTTGAATTTAGAAAGCCTTGTTTGACTCAGTATCCAGCCAAACTTTTCTGTACCAAGTTATGGAACAGATATCTAAGTCAGAATGATTTCACACTTTTGCTAAGATCACCATTAATCGCATCAGATCTTCAAAGGTTGGGAACACTCTCAAGCTCACAGCTGCAGATGGCAAAGTTTTCCAAAATTTTAACTTAACTTTGAAAGCTCAAATTTTCTCGCTGGAAGCAAATACTGTCAATTGTTTTTCTTGAAGTGTTAAGCTCACTTTATTCTTTTCCAAGAACTATTTGCCAAATATTTGCCAACTCAAATATGAAAAGCCATCTATCAGTTTATCAGTTGTTCTTTCAAAGTAAAAATGGTGTTCCAAGCAAAAAGCAGCTAGTTCAAGCAGGAACTCAGGTGTTTAAATGCCTTTGCTCAAAATCATCATCCACAGCTCAGGATGCAGCCAAGGTGCTTTATGTGTACACAGAATATGAAAAAGCTACATAGTCAGAAATCATGATTTAATAAACTTAGAAATATATATACTGCTTCATCAAGGACATTCTTATGTGATCTGCCTCCCCCACCTCGCCTGCTCCCATTTCTTTTCTGTGAGTAGAGAGTGGTGCGGAGCAGAGTGACTATCAGCATAGTTTGGAGCTATTGCCCTGATTTGTGCGAAGGCAGCAGCTGTGTTCCCACCATTGCTTTTGTACCACCTGTGTAAATCAACACAGTCAAAAAAGAAAAGAACATTCTAGTATTATTATGGAAACAGTCTTGACCCTGTGGACTCCCTGAAAGAGTCCCAGGGACCCTCAAGGGTTCAAAATTTATACTTTGGGAAAATGCTGCCCTGGGGTGCCTAGCATGGTGCTTTGTGTATACTAGTTATTTCAATACTCGGTCGGTTGCTGAATAAATGTTTGACTGAAGTTTGAATTTAGAAAGCCTTGTTTGACTCAGTATCCAGCCAAACTTTTCTGTACCAAGTTATGGAACAGATATCTAAGTCAGAATGATTCCACAAACAGAACCTTGAAGCCAATATTTAACTATTCATAGTGCCCTAAACTTAACTTGCTAGTAATGACAAAACTGGCTTCGTTTTCAGCAGTTTACTGAATGGACAGGGCCTGGTGTCTCAATTCTAGGAGTGAGGCCATGCCAGGATGCTGGGCACGACCTGGTGACTGGCCAGAAACCACTTGGCTTGGCCAGGCCTGTGGTTGTGGTTAGACTGATTTAGAATTGGTTACATTGAAAGCAGCATGATAATCCTGTTTTCCTTCTTGTTGTGTGCCATGTGGAATTTATTTAAGTGCCCAGTTCCCATGCCCTTGGCAAGGAAGTGAGGAGTTCAGAGGTCAACCCATACCAGGCTACTTGCCTAAGTAAAAACCTCTTAGCTTGATTCTCCCCTGGGGTATGTGACAAAACATTCTTCTGAAACTCTAGGGAATCAATTCCCTCCCTTTATTTCCCTCCTGGAGTCACTGAAGAACTTATTTTAGTGGGAGTCTGCTGAACAGTAGCAACTAAAATCCTGGGTGAATATTTAGCCACAGTTCACTACTGATCTTGATCATAACCTTTCCCATGTTTAGCCACATCCTCACAGACAGCTGAGTGACTAGAATATGTGATATTGTTCTAAGGTTAGACCGGACACCAGGGATGACAGGAGAAATCATTTTCCTGTTCTTCTATAGGTTTCCATATAAAACTCCATGTAAGCATCTGCTGTCTTAAAGAATTCCAAGATAAAATTTTACTGATTATATCCATTTTTCTCAAATAAGAAATTAGAACTGGGATATATGGTATTAAGTCAATAGAAAGTCTAATTAGAAGTGAGAGAGGTTTTTGAACACAGAAAAGTCAAAGGATTTTTCAATGTGAGATGTAATAATATCTTACCATTTTCCACTGGGTCTCATTTAGTTCTTTGTAGTGCAGTTCATACTCCAGGATTATCCATCCCATCTTAACATCTGTATTGGGTGGCGGTTCCCATTTCACTAGTATGTCGGCATGAATCTCCGTCAAACTGATGTTCAGCAGAGTCCAGTTGAGGCCAACGGGTGGATCCGGTTGTACTGTGCATTTCAGCAGAGAATTAGTACACAGACATAGCTTGATGTTAGTGGAATGCTTTTTTCTGAAGAAGACTAAGTTACTTCATACATTATTCTCAATTCTTCCAATATTCCCATCATTATACTTCCACTTTATGGCAAAGTATCATTTTTTAAATTAAGGATGACCTGTTATTAACTGAAAAAAAAAGCCCCTATAAAAAATTCTATTTTGAGTTAAAATCTGATCTGTAGCCGTTCTTGAAGATCTGTCACATTTTGCATTTCTTTTGGCTCTGAGAAGATGAATCCTTTGGGATTCTGGCAAAGGAATTCACTTTAACTCAGAACTGAAAGGAATAGAGAGTCAGAAAGACCCAAGTGTATTTACATATGTGGCCATTTTGGAGTGAAGGGTTGAGAGATCTTTTTTCTTCTGATCTGTGTGTTACCTGGGGCAAGGCCTTTTACATTTTCTTTCTCATTTCTTTTTACACTGCTACAGAAGCACAGTCCTTCAGAACACTTGGTAAATACCCCTTCATTAGTCTTCCTAGCCCCATGTGATCATTTCTTCAGATATAAAAGGAAGGAATTACACTGATCTTTCAAATGGTGGTGAATCAGCGTTTTCTGTGTTTTACTTAACTGCATGCTATTGACTACTGTGGAGTGGATACTACTTTTTAAAAAACAGAGAAAGTCCCAATTTGACTAATCATGACCACATTTTGGAAATTAAATTGGAGGGATTTGCAAAATGGCTAAGCTACATATGCTGCATAATGATAGCTACGCCTCATCTTTCCAGGTTTGTTGGGGATTGCTGAATTCTGAAAACCAAAGCTTAATGCTTTATATGACTGAACTATAAAAATGTTTTTAAGGGGAAATTTTCTCAAACTTATTACTCATGTTGCATCTTAACCCCCTCCCCTACTTTCAGTAGAGGATATAGAACAGGGTCTCTTTTGAGAAGGCTCAGTACCACCATGATGAGCATAACAACAACCATCTCTCTTACTTCTAGTCTTCTGCCTGTAACCTGCTCCTCTTCCACCTTCCCTAATTCTGTTAATGATGACTCCATTCTTGCAGGATGAAAATGGTGAACCCTTCCTTGACTCACTTTTTTTCCCCCCACCACGTCACATTCTGTCAGCTGTAATTTCAAGATATTTCCAGATCTACCCACTTCTCATCACCTGCCCCGCTCTTACCTGGTCCTAGCCATTATCATTTTGTTTTGAAGCATTAGCCTCCTAACTAGTCTCTTCCTGTGGTCCTTGTTCCCCTTCAGTTTATTCTCGATGCAATCCTCAACACTGTGGACATGCTGGTCATCCTAACACTTAAGTTAGGTCACATTGCTCATCATTTACAGCTTTCTGAAGGCTTCCTATCTCCAGACGAAAGTCAAAGTCACACCATGGCTTAAAAGATGCCATAGCTTTGACCCTCTGATCTCCAGGATCTGGTTTATGATCATGCTTCTCTTCTCTCTCCGTGTGTCCTTCCACTACCCCATACTCTTCCCTGAGTGAGCAAAGGCGTGCTCCCACCTCCAGATCTTTATCCTGCCTATGCCCTCTTTCATCAGATAGACATGGGACTGTTTTCTCATTTCCTTCTTTACTCAAGTGTCTCTGTCTCAATGAGGCCATGTGTGATAATGCTCCCATTGCAGCCTCTCCTATTTTCCCACATTGTCTTTCCTCCCAGCATGGTCTCCTTCCACCCACACTGAGAAAATGTCCCCCTGGTGCAGATGCTTTCTGCCCCTAGCACCTAGAATGCTGCCTGGCCCAAGGAAGAGACTCAAAGAAGTGTGGAATAAACTGAATGAATGACAGATGCCTAACTCACATACGACTTTAAATCCAAAGACCAGCCCTGAGAGGTCTAGTAGAATACATCATGGTACACGAGGAAGCTGAAGCTTATGATCAGCATCTTAAGAGCTATAGGGTCACCCCTGTTCTTTGCTGTCTCTCATTCTCAGCTCCCTCCCTCCCTGCTATCATGGTAACCCTGTGTGTCATCATGTTTTGCCTTCATTATCAAAAAGCCTTCCAATCTAGTCTGTGCTATTCTAATCTGCCCTCTACACTGCAGCAAGATGAATTTCCCTGAGACGTTAGTACCATACTCTCGGGCTTCCCAGGTGGCACTAGTGGTAAAGAACTTGCCCACCAAATGCAGGAGACATAAGAGATGTGGGTTTGATCCCTGGGTTGGAAAAACCCCCTGGAGGACGGCATGGTAACCCACCCCAGTATTCTTGCCTGGAGAATCCCTTGGATAGAGGAATCTGGCAGGCTACAGTCCACAGGGTTGCAAAGAGTTGGACAAACTGAAGCAGCTTTGTGCGCGTGCACACACACACTATGGCTTTGAGATTAAGAGCAAGGGCTCTGGAGCTATGCTGCCTAGGTGCAAATCTCAGCTCTGCCTACCAGTAGTTCTGACCTTGGGCTAGACATTGAACTGCTTTGGGGATCAGTTTCACCATCTGTAATATGGGAATTATAATAGAAGCCATCTAGCACAGTTATCATACCTGATTTATGGTACATGCTTTGTAAACATCCTGAGGTCATTCCCCTGCTTAAACATCCTCAAACGTACCCCTGGGCAGTCAGATAAAGTCCAGGTTCCTTTGTGGGGCACACAGAATCACTGATGATTCCTCTGGTCAACCCGTCAGGCCTGCCAAACCGCTCCTGAGTCTGAACATTCTGTGTTATCACTTTTGGAACTCAGTAGCTGTTAGCAGACACTGTCCATCTTGTATACCTGGCAACTCCTGCTGAGGCTTTAAGAACTGAACTGTCACCATCTCCGTGCAGCCCTTTCTCATCCCTCAGTCAACCATTCACACCTCTGGCCACCGCCTTGGCTTGCTGTGCATTCCACACACCTTGAGGCCAGCACCTACTGTGCCGTATCTCAATTATTTGTAAACATGCCTGCTTTCCCTACTTGACTGTGTCTTACTCATTTTGTAGCCAACACACCCAGCCAGGAGCCAGGCACTCAGGGAAAATCAGCCAAGTGAACGAGTGGGGTGGCTACTGGCAGGACAGGCTTAGAACATGGGTCTTGACACTGTATTCTTTCTACTACCGATTGAGTCATTAGACAGCTACATCTACGGACTTCGGGGCATATATTCAATTACTAACAGCTTCTCTAGATTCAATAGTTTCTTTAAACCATGCAGATGGGTTATATTCTGCTTGTTACATGTTTTTCAATCTTCTCCCACCAAGTCAGTCTATCAGATTTACTCGTTTCTATCTGCATCTTCCACCCTCCCTCTCTCAGCCTCTTCCAGCCTGGAAACCACACACAAGAACAGCACATCTAAGTGAGGCTCCAAGGAGTTCCTGTAAGCAACAAACAAGCTTTGTGGATAGATGTGAGGCATCAGTGTCAGCTACTCATGGTCCTTCTGTGATTCTATGTAGCTGTTTATACAATTATAGTATAAACACGAATATTCCAATTATGGCTCTTTGTCTTGTTTTATTTCCCCTGTGTTCACATGGTGGGCAAGGGATAAGCTGCTTGAATCTTTCACTTAGTTCACTGAACTGATTATCTCCAGTGTGTGTTTTGAGATCTTATAAACATGCCTTTAAACTGATTTTGGCTGTTTTGTCAGCGTAAAATTCCAGAATGATTATGCCTTGTGGCAAAGAAAATCTTGGACTGTAGCCCACCAGGCTCATCTGTCTGTGGGATTCTCCAGGCAAGAATACCAGGTTTCCATTTCCTTCTCCAGGAGATCTTCCTGACCATGGGATTGACCCTGCATCTCTTGCATCTCCTGCGCAGTCAGGCAAGTTCTTTACCACTAATGCCACCTGGGAAAACCAAAGAGAATCTAGGCATTTATTTATAGGAATGCCAGAGATCAAGGCCAATGAATATAATCGTCATACCAGATCATGAGGAGAGAAAGAATCTTAAGAGTGCATTGAGTTTCTTCCTTGTAGTGGCACACAAGAATACAAACTGGCATTCAGAGACTTTTTCAAGGAAAAGACTCCGTAAGACTCCTTTTCTTTTCTTTATAAACCTCCTGCCAGATTGTTTAATATTAGAGTCAACCTGAGCTGCTGCCTGCCCTTTCTCTCTTGTTTGCCAGCTTATCTCATGTGCTATAAAGACGACTTCCATCCACCCAGAGAATGCAATGCAATGACAAAGTCTTCCTACTTGCATGCACTTGGACTTTGCAGCCTTCCCCGCTTATGTAATCTAAAGCCATGTCAAATAAAACACAAACCTGTGATTTACCTATGTCCTCAACAGAGAAACACTTATGATCCACAATACCACCATTGCTAGTTAGCTTGATGCAGTAGGGGGTCCACACGGAGGTATAAGATGAATTAAAGTAACAGCTGTTTTCACCAGCAGAGACATAATCAGGGCATTCTTTCCATTCTTGAATGTCCCTGAAATGGAAGGTAAAAAGGAAAAATTGTTCCCCAAATCATGCAATAGTGCAAGTCAAAGTAAGCTGCTTAAGAGTCAGATTCAATAAACCAGGACACAAGTATTTTAAGAGCAAGTATCTTAGTGGTACCATTTTCAAGGACTAGCACATCTGTGGGCTGATGATCAGTGTCTGCAGACTGAGAGGAGGCCTTCTGGCACATCTGTCTACAGTAAAAGCATCCCTTCATTGACTGCATATAAGGTGCCAGCTCCTAATTTAAGCGACTCATTGGTAGGTATTTTCCCCACTCTACAGATGAAAGTTCTGAGGCTTATGGAGGTTTAAATATATTCTTTTATTAAAACACTGTAGAATCAACTCCCAAACTATAGAGATTCCCAGCGAACAGTTGGGTCTTTAAACCTCGGTATTTCCCTAACTCATGGTGGAAGAAACTGAGGTGACACATGGATGGTGTTCTCCAAGCTGAGTGACACTGAGATGTGGGTGGTCCTGAAGAGGAAAATCAGCTAAAACCCTACTCTGAACCACTGCATCCTATGTCCATCTCCTCCGCAAGGTTGTCCTGTGCTTGGCAGTGGAGGGCGGGAGTTTTCCTGATGCCTTGAACTCCTTCCCATATTCCTGGTATCTTTTCTTAATTAAACAAAGAGCCATTTCAAACATGCTGGACATCCAAGTAACCTTTAAGAAACACGGGACTCCTAGCTTTTTCCCCTCTACTCACAAAAGAAACCAAAGAAATTTAAAACCTAGAAATTAAAAAAAATTATCCAAACTAAGAAAGCATTTTTCTTCTTCATTCTGTAAACAGGAATGGACATTTAATTATAATATCAAAAGAATGGAAAAAACAAAAAAGGGGCTGTATTGAATCGATGAGTTTACCTATCAGTTCCTTTGTTAGCTTCTCTACAAAGAATGAGCTCATCCTTTCCTGTATCTTGGATCAGATAAGAACAAATGAAACAAGTCACGAAGGACAGATAGACACGTGGAGAACACTGAAGAAATCAGAAAAGCTATACCTCCATATCCAAGATCCACCCTAGAGTTATTCACCTCCACTCTGTTCTACAGAAAGCATTATTTACCTCGACGACTTAAAACAACAGCAGTGATTGATGTCAAATGGAAAAGAGATGGCAGGAAGGTCACTGGGGGAGGATGTCAGAGTTTGGGGAAAGGATTTACCCTGACTAGCCGCCAAGGGGACCTGAACAAAAATGCAGAGCAATCAAAAGATGGCTCAGACTCAAGTCCACCCCAGCAGGAACATGTGAGAGAATGTGACACAGCTCTCCTCCAACCTCCCATCTGCCTGCCCGCCTGAAAGAGTGAATTCAGCAAGCCATCTTTGGGTGCCTCCTATGCAAGCACTCTGTAGGTATCATATCTGACACTAGCGCTGTGTGGCCGTAAGGATTAAAAGGACTTGATCCCTACTTTCAGGCTAGATGGCGACTCAGAAATTACCCACTGAGTACTTTCTTTTTTTTAATCTCCTTTATTCAGTACATGGGTATTTCGTAAGCATCAATTATACATAAAATATATTGCTGGATATTACAGAGGAGTCATGTGTGTTTAAAGAAATACTTCAGCCTCAGGGGAATGACTGAGAAATCGTATTACAAAGCAGGGTGGGCAAGTGTTCATTGGTGCTCACTGGAGTTAGAAATGAGAATGATTGCCTTGACCATTCATGGACGGCTTCAAGGTGGATGTGGTATTTTAGCAATCTTGAAGATGGGTAAAAGTTTATGGCAATAAATAAATATAATAAAAGTTATGGCAATAGGGGAAGGAAGAGAGGGAACAGAAGGCAGTGGAATCACTGGGAAAAACTTTCTTAAATTAAAATTGCTACTTAGGTGGTGTCATTCGTTATTTACTTGCTCTTCACTAGGCTGAGAGGGTGTTTTACAAGTCAAGAAGACATAAAGCAGGTAACGTGTGCTTGGGGCTGGTGGGCCAGGCTGTGAAGGTCTGTGAGCATCGTTCTAGGGAGTGGGTGCTTGGCAGCAGGAGACAAGAAGGACCCCACAGGCTGTGCACGGGCAGGGACTGGAAGAAGGGATGAGAAGCTGGGAGAAGACACACGTTTTCTTGTTTACAGCTGTTTCCCAAGCTGGTCTGTTTGGCACTCGGAGGACACTTATGTAATATCAAGGGGTCCTTGAGACAGCTGCTCATCAGCTGTTGGAAAGAACTTGGGATTAACATGGACAGTGGACTGTTACTTAATTGCTGGTAGAGGCTCTTAAAAGTTGCATACCCTTGGATGAGAGGGAGATTCATCTCCAATGGGAAAACTAAGGGGGTAGAGGGTAGAAGGAAGGATAAACTGTGTGTGTGTGTGTGTTCAGAATAGGAAAAAGACTGAAAAATATGGATAGGTAGGTCATTGAACTATAGTTTATCTTGATAGACTTTCAAAATAAATACGAGTGTAGTAAAAGATAATGGTTTTATAAGATTGCCTAGGGAATGAGATTTTCATATAATAGTTAAGGAGTCAAGTTTTGTATAATAGTCAAATGTAGTTAGCAAATTGACAGTATTAAAGTCAGTATGAAAATATTTTCTGAAGATGCAGGCCAGTGCTTAGCAGGCCTGGATTGGTAATAGGAGATGAGCTCTGTGTATGGCACGCAGTTTCTCAACTCAGGCCTGTCAGCAACCTGGTCCCCACAGGCATGGTATGAAAAACCCTGTTTAGATTATCTCCAACCCATTAGCTCCACAGAACAAACAACTTAAAGTACTTCTCTAAAGTGCAATGGGTCAGGAAGAGCTACTTCAAAACACAACTCCCAACCCCCTCCCTCATTAACTGAAGTTGAATTTTATTTTAAATACATACTTAAAACTTATTTCTAAACTCTTACATTTAGACAAACTGTCCAAATGGACACACCACACAGATGCTCTGTTGCCTGCCTTCACTGGGTTGAATTTCTCTACAGATGACCAAAGTCCATTTCTAAAAGCTACTCTCTCCTCCTTTTAGTCCCAAGACTTAAGTGCTTTAGGTTTGTTCCCAGACTGGCTTGTGAAATAGGGCTGAGAACTCTAGAAAGAGCCTATCCATAAAAATCAGAATAAAGAGCAGAAGACGTGCTTTCCACCTAAAGGTACCCAACCGGAAGACAAAAAGACCCAAACAAACTATCATTTATGTCCTAAGGGCAACTGTTTTCAAGCCATCCAGATCATGTGTTTTAGGCTTAATATTTAACATTTTCTTTCTTGTTCTTTTTCTTTTTAGAAAAAAGAAAGTAACACTGCTCATTTTCCTTTCTAATTTCCTCTATAACTTGGCAGAGCAAATAAACTTTCTTTTCAAAAACCAGGATAATTTGTTGAAGGGGGGGTTTGTAGGGGTGGGGGATATACAGCCTTTGGGAATGAGTCTTCACTCGCCCACTTCTTTGGAAACGAAGCATCTGCAGGAACAGGTTAGAGCAGAGCAGGCTGACAGGCTCCCAGAGCCCCCTTTTCACCGGGCCTGTGATTTGCATTTCTGCAGAGTCCCGGCCCAGCTTGGAGGCTGAATCTGGCATGGTCCCATCACAGGGTGGCACGGACTGTTCTGGATTGGCTGCCTCTTCCACTGGCTCACCTGGCTGGAAGCAGAGCCAGCCAAGCGTGCAGCCTGGGCCTGTCCTGTGGACCAGCCTGACCTGGTTAGATTCCCCGGTGCTTCAGCTACCAAGGCCAGGCCTGCAGTGCAGCGGCCCCCTCCCACTCCTCCCTGCCTCCACTACTCTGCCTCTGGATGACTTCGGGTCACAGTCTCATTTGTGTGCTAGGGATGGGGAGTCGTGATTCTATGGTTCCAGGAGGTGCCTGGGAACTGCTTTCCAAGAAACAGTGACTGGAGCCAGAAAGCGCATCTGTATCTGCCTCTTCCTGTAAGCAGGTGATGCAAAGTCCCACACACGTGTACTCTATTAGGTGCAGCCCTGCTACTGCATACTCCCTAATACTCCTTATTCCATCAATTCTACCCTTTCCAGATAAATGGCACTGGGCTATTTGGGCTGAAATACTCGAGGTTCATAACACTGTACAGAAGGTGGTGATCAAAACCATCCCCAAGAAAAACAAATGCAAAAAGGCAAAACGGCTGTCTGAAGAGGCCCTGCAAATAGCTGAGAAAAAAAGACAAGTGATGGCAAAGGAGAAAAGGAAAGATATACCCATCTAAATGCAGAGTTCCAAAGAATAGCAAGGAGAGACAAGAAAGCCCCCCTAAGTGAACAGTTCAAAGAAGTAGAGGAAAACAACAGAATGGGAAAGACTAGCGATCTCTTCAAGAAAATCAGAGATACCAAGGGGACATTTTATGCAAAGATGGGCACAAAAAAGGACAGAAATGGTACGGACCTAACAGAAACAGAAGATATTAAGAAGAGGTGGCAAGAATACACGGAAGAACTATACAGAAAAGATCTTCATGACCCAGATAACCATGATGGTGTGATCACTCACCTANGAGTACAGCATGCGACATGCTGGGCTGGATGAAGCACAAGCTGGAATCAAAATTGCTGGGAGAAATATCAAAACCTCAGATATGCAGATGACACCACCCTTATGGCAGAAAGCAAAGAGGAAGTAAAGAGTCTCTTGATCAGAGTGAAAGACGAGAGTAGAAAAAGCTGGCTTAAAACTCAACATTCAAAAGACTAAGATCATGGGCAAATAGATGGGGAAACAATGGAAATAGTGACAGACTTTGTTTTCTTAGGCTCCAAAAGCACTGCAGATGGTGACTGCAGCCATGAAATTAAAAGACGCTTGCTCCTTGGAAGAAAAGCTATGACCAACCTAGACAGCATATTAAAAAGCAGAGACATTACTTTGCCAACAAAGGTCTGTATAGTCAAAGCTATGGTTTTTCCATTAGTCATGTATGGATGTGAGAATCTGCTGAGCACCGAAGAATTGATGCTTTTGACTTGTGGTGTTGGAGAAGACTCTGGAGAGTCCCTTGGACTACAAGGAGATCAAACCAGTCTATCCCAAGGAAAATCAATCCTGAATATTCATTGGAAGTACTTATGTTGAAACTGAAGCTCCAATACTTTGGTCACGTGATGCAAAGAGCTGACGCATTGGAAAATACCCTGATGCTGGGGAAGATTGAAGGTAGGAGGAGAAGGGGACGACAGAGGATGAGATGGTTGGATGGCATCACTAACTAGATGGACATGAGTTTGAGCTCCGGGAGCCTGGCGTGATGCAGTCCAACCTCTGCAGTATCAGCCTTGCAGGGGTAAAAGTTCATTTGGTGCCCAAGCATCTCATCCTTGTGTGCCCTTTAGGGTATGTTTGAGAGACCTCTCGCACATCTGGAAGGCCTGTCCTGGTTGTTAATTCAAAGTATTTATTTGCAAATTAAGCACCTGTTTCTGCATTAAAAATGGTCTTATAGCATATCAATAATCATAGGCAGTAAAAACGAAATTGCTTTTGTATTTCAGAAACTGGAATTCTATAGTATTTTAAATTATTCTCATACTACCAATAATAAGAATAGGAGCTATTATTCATTCAGTACTTACTACGCTTGTCACCAAGCACTGTGATAAGGCTTTTTCATGTGTTACTTAATAAAACCCTCCCAAGAAGCCATGGGGAAAGGTCTGTTATCTTCATTTTGCATATGAGGTGGCTGAATTGTGTACAGAATGACTAATCTGTACAGTATTACTCTCGAGCAAGGGCTGGAGCCAGGCTGAAATATAGGATGGCTGGCCCTAAGCTCTCTCCCTTCACTGCCTGCTGCCCCTTCCTTTAGTTTCCTGGCTCCTCTGGGGGACCGACAGCACCATCCTGGGACTGATGACCACCATCTAAGGGGGTGGGGGTCTCCACTAACCTTACCTCTTGGTTTAGGCCTTCCTGGAGGGTTGGATGGACAAGAGAAGATGACAGAGAGTTTGAGCCTAAGCTTTTAAAGAGCATAAAGGTACACATGAGAATATACAGAAATGGAAATCATACCAAGTGAGGGGCAAGCAATAAATGACTTGGATGGTGATTACACTGAAAGATCTTTGTCTTCACTCGTCTTTACAAGACCACCCGTAAAAATAAAAAAGAGAAGTATCACAGTCCTTTATTGAAGATAATGAATTTAACAGGGACAAAGTCAATTTTCTACATAGGAACCAAATCATCTTACACATATCTTAAAAAACAAAACAAAACCCTATGGCTTCGCACCACAGAGGAAGTCGGCTGGGCTGTGGCCTTCAAGGCTCATCTCAGTCTGGTCCCACTTAACCCTCTGGCTTCTCCCCCTGTCACTCTCCTTGTCTTCCACTTTGTCCTAGCCAGCGTCCTGATTTCCTCCAACCTGCCATGTCAACCAAAGTGCCTTTGCACTTGCAATTTCCTCTGTCTGTACAGTCTTCCCCTCAGATAGTCACAAGGCCTTTTTCACCTATTTTATGTCTCTGCTCTCAGGTACCACTAGAGGGGCCTCTGAAGACCTCATTTAAGGTATCACCTGAGCTCTCAACAGGCACACACACTCATGCATGCTTACTTTCACATGTTTACTCTCCCATATGCTCCCATTTACAGATTAACTAATATATTTGAATGAATGAATGGGTGAATGCATTTAGATCACCAAAGCAGATCACTTCCATTCCCACCACTGCATGACACTCAAAGCATTTTCATTAAAAAATTCATGGAGAGAAATCAGAAAAACATGAAGCCCATACCTTCTGATATAGAACATCTGTACAGATCCTGGGCTCTGTAAGCTGTGATTAGCCCCATCTGTCCAGTGACATGAGAAAGTCTCCAGTTCAGGTGAACGGCACTTGGTGAATTTAGGATTCCCAGAAGAATCTGCAGAATAAAAAGACAAGACAAGTCATGAAATCAGGAGGGTAATGGATGGTCCTAATGAGACATATATTTAAAGTGATCAAGAATAACCACTTCTAGAAATGCTGTTTCTCTGGGCCATAGCTTCAGAGCCGCTGTCAGTTATTTCTGTTAGCCCTTGATTCCAGAACAAACCATTTTGTCTTTATTTCCAACATTATTTTTGGGGTGGGGGGGTGCTGTTTAAGAAACCAGAGCTAGAGATGAGGTCTTGGGCACAAGTAGTTTACTAGGAGGGCGACTCCAGGAAAGGGAGAGAGGGATGCTGGGAGCAGGAACAGCTAATATAGCGTGTGATATTCAGCTCATTCCCACAGTGGCTGATGGGGGCCCAACCTCACAGAGGTCCCCCTGAGAAGCTGTGTGGAGTGTGCCTTCCTGGTATCCTTGACAACGATGGAAGACCAGGGCATTTATATGTCAGCTCCTACCTCCCAAGGGCTAAGGGCTGCCTGGGAGGTATTAATGCCCATGAACTTCTAGGCTGCACCTGCACATGGGTTGAGGGTCCTTGCTAGACTTCTTAAAAACCCAGACAGACACCTGAAATGTGCCCAGTGATATGCATGGTGGCAGCTGCCCACCATGGATGGCTGTCTTGGCAACAGGTGGGCTCAAGGGATGTGGTGTGGGGACCACAGCATTCACCACAGAGCCTTTTCCCTTTTTACCAATTTTTGATAAAAAGTTACTAATGTTTGCCTTCTTTTAAAAGATTCAGCCAGTAAACTTATTAAAAGATACCAACTTTAAACAACTTATGCATATATATATATATGCATATATATTTATATATATATAAATTCTAACATGGGAAGTGGAAAAAGCCTCCTAGATGTGAGGATATTAGCAGACTCCTCTGCATCTATGAAATCTGCAGCAGGTCTGAGGCAAAACAAATTTTTGTGTATCAGTTTTAATTGTTCTTCTGATTTCCATGGCCATTTTGAAGATGGTGGTCAGTGTTAATTAACTGAAGCATAGGAGCTTGTATGATCTGTTGCAAATGAAAAAAGTGTGTGTTTTGTTAGGCAGGCACTTTATTATACAGTAGAGTTCCTGGAAAAGTTCCTTCTTCTATTAGCTGATGCACCTGAAGTGTTATTTTCAGATCCTTCCAGAAAATCAGTGCTAAATAAACCATATTTAAGCCACAACTAACATGCTTTAGGGCTTCCCAGGTGGCTCAGTGGTAAAGAATATGCCTGCCAGTGTAGGACACGTGGGTTTGATCCCTGGGTAGGGAAGATCCTCTGGACAAGGGAATGGCTACCCACTCCAGGATTCTTGCCTGGAGAATCCCATGGACAGAGGAGCCTGGTGGACCACAGTCCACAGGATTGCAAAGAGTTTGACATGACTTAGCAACTCAACAACAACAATAAACATGTGTTAACACCTGCAGTGTTGAGGGAGGACTGTACGTTCTGACTGCTCTTGCACAGAATGGGAGGAGAGGAAATGCCCCAGATTTCAAATTGAGAGATCTGTGATCTAGTCTCAGCTCTGACGGTATTTAGACTTGAACTTCCCAAGTCATTTGGGCCTCATCTTCCTCAATAGGCTGGAATAGATGAACTCTTTCTTAAGCTTTGTGACTTCACTTTGACAGTTAAGTGACGTGTGCTGTGCTATGCTTAGTTGCTCAGTTGTGTCTGATTCTTTGCGATCCCATGAACTATAGCCCGCAAGGCTCCTCTGTCCATGGGGATTCTCCAGGCAAGAATACTGGAGTGGGTTGCCATGCCCTCCTCCAGGGATCTCCCCAACCCAGGGAGCGAACCCATGTCTCCCACAATGCAGGCAGATTCTTTACCATCTGAGCCACCAGGGAAGCCCATGAATACTGGAGTGGGCAGCCAATCCCTTCTCCAGGAGGTCTTCCCGACCCAGGAATTGAACTGGGGTCTCCTGCATTGCAGGCTGATTCTTTACTAGCTAAGTCACCTGGGAAGCCCTTAAGTGACATAAAGAACCATTAATAACAATATACATAATCAAAATACAATTGTGGCATTTGAGCTGAAACCATCAGAGAACACCAAATGCAAACACTATTCAGGTTCCAATAGCCTCTGTGCAATAAGCCTTCCACACATTGGTAAGAAGAATAAAACCAATCCGAAAACTTGAAACATGAAGGAAAAAAATTGCTAGCTTGGGGAAAAGAACTTAAAAGAATTAATTTGAAACACATTTTCCTTGCTTCAACTTACTATTTCTGATTATTCTGTTTCCTTTTAACTCCAGATGTAAAGAAAGCCCCATGTTATCTTCCATTTTAAGTAAGAAATAGGAAATTCATAGTTGTGGTGCTAATGTGATGAAATAACATGCCCACAGAGGAATCCTGCTGTAGACGCAGTGTAGCAAAGCTAATTTTTTGGGTCTTTTTTTTATGTCTGTCTTTCATTGCCTGCCTTCCTTTCCCTGCCTTTCTCCTTTTTTCCTCCCTCCTTCTTTGCACCCTCTTCCTCGCCTTCCTTCCTTTCTTTTATGGCTGGGTATGTGCTGTTAGGTGCTGTGGCCCCATGGATCCCTGCCCCCTGTTATCCACAACCTTAAGTATGTTCTCCCCTTGAGCAACTTGCCTTTAGTCTGTGGAATATAACAGCATTGAGGGGATGTCGCATCTGTGATTAGGATACAAAAGACTGTGACTTCGCTCTTGCTGGCTGGCTGAGTCTCTTGCTGGTTTTGCTGAAGCAAGCTGCCGTGGTGGTAAGAACCACACAGCAAAGAACTGAGGGTGGCCTCTGGTCCACAATCAGCAAGAAGTTGAGGCCCTCAGTCTAACAACCCTCCAAGAGCTGAATCCTGGGAAACAATTGCTTAGGGAGCGTGGAAACCGATCCTTCCCCAGTCCACACTACAGATGAGACCACAGCCCTCGCTGGCACTTTGAGCACAGCCCTGTGAGAGAATCTGAAGCAGGCCCACCTGCTAAGTCCATGTGAAGGAAGGATAGGGAAAAATACTAACCATAGTAAATATTTGAATGTTGTTGATATATAAGGAATAAATCCAGTATATCAGGGCTTCTCTGGTGGCTGACGGTAAAGAATCCACCTGCAATGTGGGAGACCTGGGTTCAATCCCTAGGTTGGGAAGATCCCCTGAAGGAGAGCATGACACCCCTCTCCAGTATTCTTGCTTGGAGAATCCCCATGGACAGAGGAGCCTCGCAGGCTACAGTCCATAGGGTTGCAAGGAGTCAGATATAACTGAGCGACTAACACATTAGAACTCAAAGAAGCATTTAAGAATGACATGTCACAAATAGAATATGTCACAATGAGCATAGGAAAGGGGGTAAATTCCCTTTTGGAGGCAAGAACTGCAGTATGGCTGGTTGCTTCTCTTTTTCTTAGATTCCTCCTGCTTCAGCTGTTACCACTGTGGTTGAAGACATTCAGCATTCCTAAGTCCATTTCCTTAGAGTCATACTGAGCTTTTCCAAATCTGAGTGGTACTGGCCTAACCTTAAAATGAGCACCTGTCTATTAGATCTAAAAATCCCAGTAGAAACTTGTTCTGTGTTTCACTATAAAGATGACCAATGGTTATGATACTCTCTGAGGTCCTCTCTGATGAGCCACATACAGTCATTTCTAAAGTAGAAATACTTCCTACCTGCTCGTGATTTTTTTTTTTTTTTCAGTATAGTCCTAAAGACAGTGTGGCAGCCCACTCCAGTACCCTTGCCTGGAAAATCCCATGGACGGAGGAGCCTGGTGGGCTGCAGTCTTACTGTTGTATGCAGATGGGATTAAAACACAAATCTATGTGATTTCATCTAAACTCTTAGCACTAGCAAAAAATAGTAGCTTTTTTGTTAGATAATTCTCTCTTGCTTCTCAAAAATCCCCAGAAAGGAAGGATGATAAGCAAACAGATGTGCTCTTAACTAAACTCTTGGTAATCTGTACCCCAGCGAGCCCTAAGAGCAGGATTTCCTAACTGTGACTGCACAGCAGAATCAACCGAGGAATTGTGAAAGATCCTGACTGATGCCTTGGTCTACTCCCAGAGGCTTGACCCAATGTGTCAGGGGCGCAGCATGGGCAGTGAGATTTTTTAAAGTTCACCTGTTGCTTGAAATATGTAGCCCGGATTGAGAGAGCCACTGCTGTAGAGAAACACTGCTATATGTAAGCACTGAAAAGGTAGCTTCCCACATCCGTTAGGTTCTCTGATCAGTTCTAGCAGAACTATAGATCAAGAGTGATACTTGGTATTAGTCCTGTGAGCCAAGTTCTGGACGGTGCTAGAAGGATATGAATGTTAATCATGGCCTCAAAAGAATATAATAATGGTTCATGAACCCCTGGAAAACTAAGAGATATTTCAAATACATGTATAAAATGTTACATCTAAATGTTAAACCTGCCCAAATTTCTGGTGGACTATAGACTGGTAATAAAAATTAAAAGTAGTATTCTTACTGAAATTATTACTTTAAGAAAGCTTAAAGAGAGTTTTACTACAATTCAAGTTTTGAAAAAAAGTCAATTTACATTCAATGAAGACAGAAGGACCACGTCAGAGTGGCTGGGAGGCACTGCTGGTGGCCCCGCATCGCCTTTGACAGTGACCACGGCTGACTGCAGCCAGACTGGCCGGGCCCCCTTCCCGGCCCGTGGCTCTCCCCTTGGAGGAAGACCATCTTCCTGGGCAGGACACAGACATCAAGCAGCTGCCGCGCACTGAAATAGTCGTTTGCCTTCTTCCCCCCTGTTCTCTCACCAGTCACGCTCTCCTGTCCTCAACTCGTGACAAAACAGAAACAAAAACCAAATGAAATCACAGACAAGTTCCCAATGTGCGCTTGAGGGTTCAGGGTTAGAAGAGAAGGCGGAGGAGGAGCGGTTGAAGTGGGAGGGGAAGGCTGGAAGGAAAGGACACCCTTCTTCCTGGAGCACCAGGTCACGGAGGGGAAGGCAGGCACACCACAGCCACGT